GGGATTGGAACCATGGCAATGAGATGATATGCGATGGAATGAATGTAAAACTAAAGTTCTCTCATGGAAACTACCATATAGTTCACAATAAAACATTAAAAAAAAAAGTTTCAAAACACTTTACAATGGAGTTGAGAGAAATAAGGAAGAAGTCAGGAAAGCGCTACAGGAATAATCAAATAAGATATATACAGCATTGGAAACAATTCAAATCCTACAGAAAGAGGTCCAAACAATCAGTAATATCAGAAATAGACAGTACTCTGAAAGGGCAAAGGAGTAGAATAGAAGAGATGGAAGGCAAATAGAAAAAAAAGGAGTAGAATAGAAGAGATGGAAGGCAAATAGAAAAAAAAGGAGTAGAATAGAAGAGATGGAAGGCAAATCCCTCACTACCACTAAGATAGAAGAGCAAACAGAAAAAAGGATTAAAAAATCTGAAGAAGGTCTAAGAGTTATGTTGGACAACATGAAGAATAATAATTTGAGAATTACCAGCATTCCAGAACAAGAAGAATCATGCAAGTCCACAGAGGAAATAGTTGAAGAACGGTTGGAAGAAAATTTCTCTAACATCCTGAAAACTGAAAGGATAAACATTCAAGAAGCTCAATGAACCCCAGGAAGGATAGACTCCAACAGAAAATCACCAAGACATATCATAATCAAGCTCTCCAAAATCAAAGATAAGGAGACACTCCTGAAAGCAGCTAGGGAAAAGAGAAGTGTTACATACAAAGGCAAGCAAGTCAGATTAAGCTCGGATCTCTCAGCAGAAACCACGCAAGCAAGAAGGCAATGGGGAGACATATATAAAGCCCTGAAAGAAAAAACTGCCAACCAAGAATCCTTTATCTAGCAAAACTATCAATCAAATATGATGGTGTAATCAAAACATTCCAGGATAAACAGAAACTAAGGGATTTTGCCAAAGCCAACCCTGTGTTACTAAACATCCTAAAGGAAGTTCTGTGGACTGAGAAGCAACAAGAACAGACAACAACCAGAGATTGACATATGTGGCAGCAACTCCCAGAATTAAATCGATAGAAGTAAGAGAACAGAACAAAACTATAAGAACAAACACAGAGAATCTGGGAGGTCAGTCTATGATCAAAACAATCACAATGTAAAAGAAGGTAAACATGTAGGAACAGAGATCCAGATGGTGAGAAGGTCAGGTAGATTACAGGATAAAACAGACTGCACTAAATGGAGGGAAAAGTTAATGGATTATAAGGCAACGTCTAAGAAAAAGAACCCATACTAAAGGGGGTGGGATTTTTTGCTGGTTACTGGGATGTGCGGGGTGGGGTGACGGGAGGGAGGGGAAGGTGGAACACAGGGTAGGGAATAGACACAGGATAGTTTGGATGCTAGGGAAGGGGGCAATATACAAGAAGGGGGCGTGGAATGGAAGAGCAAAGCGGATGGGAGAACAATTAGGCAGGTTTTCATGGGCTAAGTGGGACCGAGGTAAATAATGATGCATGCACAACCTTGGAAAAATAGGGCCCTGGGATACAGGGATTGAGACATGGTTGGAATGGAGAAAACAGGGGAAATAATGTTACGATGCTTGCCTGTCTTTTGAATCTTGGTTTCCCTGGCATGCCATTATAAAATAGACTCTTGATGGGGAGAGAAAGGAATAGCCAGAAATATCACCATAGAAAGCTTGTACGTTCCTCTTCTGCCTATAACTGATTAAAATATCTAAAATGGGGCTACAACATGCCCAGTGAAGGAGGCTTCCTGCAAAGCCTCTGCATTACATAAGACTATAGGTGGAATCCTGAACCACATCCAGAGATACAGAGGTGGGAAATTTCCACTTGAAAGGACAAGCAGACCAGCCTGGAGCAGCTAGGAGAATACAAGATACCTCTTAAAAGAAAGACCGGCAGGAAAAATACAAAACAATAACAGCAGACCAACTCATTACTATAAGAACAAGCAAGTTGCTTGCCCAGGAGACATCAAGGCAAGTGGTCGGGGCCCCTGAGAGCAAAACACCCTTCCAAGACTAAGATTCAACAGGAATACACGCTCTGATTGGTGACCACGTTCGTCACCGATAAGGGGAAGTGAAGGTAAAACAGCAATGAAGCTGTGAGCTAAGCCCTATAACGTTCAATAGACTCCTGTGAACCCGAGTGGTGACCTGGTTGGCCAGCAGTGTGGCAAGATCTGGGGACTCTTAGGCCCAGAGTGAGAGACATAGCCACAGAGGACTAGAGTGGAGAGTGAAACATCCAGCTGGTAACAAGAGAGGGTATATGCACAAGAACACCCACACTTGCAGATAATACCCACTTGACCTGGCTTCAATGACTGGATGATCAGAACTAAACTAGAAGAAGAAAGAAGAGGGGGGAAAAAGACTAATCTAATACAATTTGACGAACTTTACCTTCACCTATAGATGCTGTAGCTCAAAAGAGGGAACAAATCTTTACAGCAAGGATCATTCCCTCCATACATAGAGTAGACGGGGATGGGCAACTTGGACATTGGCTACCCAAAATAGGGGGGCTTCAAAGACAAGAAGTGACTGGCTTACAAGCTTTCAGGCGGGAGCCTCGATCCAGAGGGCATGAAGAAAGGTAGAATCTCCACTGAGTAGTATCTTATCTGTCTAGGCAGGGCTGATGAAAGGAAATGCAGATAGGTCTCTTGTGATACAATAGTGAATAATTGTTATCAGGACTGATTGTGAGGGATGTAAATGTAAAAGCAGACATTTTGCAGCAAGGAGGGGAGTGATTAACTTTGCAGTCTAGGAGTGGAGATCCCTGGGACCATCAAGGGAGTAGAATGGAGAGCGCGACCCTACCCAGAGAAGCAGTGACACCAGTGATGGAGGCAGAGAAGATGATGTGGAGAGATGGAGTGGCTGGGGACTCCCCAGAGAGGGGGAGGGGCTGTGTGCTGACAACCCGGGGGGCAGGCTTGCAGGGTATTCCCTGTAGTTGGTTGATGATGCATGGAAGGGATTGTAACATGGCAATGAAGCGATATACGATAGAATGAATGTAAAACTAATGTTCTCCCATGTAAACTATCACATAATTCACAATAAATCATTTAAAAAAAAACAAAACACAATAACCATTGTGGAGGAGGGTCATGATGGCGGCCTAGTCTGGCACACCAGGTCCGTCTGTCTAGCAAAGACCCAAGTGAACCAGATGCAGACGACAATCTTGGAACCGTGAACATCAAAAGGGACGATAAAGAATTAGATCACACACCAAATAGAAGAAGAAATTAAACAAAGGCAACAAGTGAGGACTGATACTGGGCTGAGGCACTGGTCCTTCACCTTTGCAAGGCACAGCCATCTGGAGACGAAGCCAGCATTGACCCCAGGAGAGAACCACAGTAGGCAACTTTACAGAACTCCAGAGAAGAAGCAGAGAAATTGTCTAGACGTAAGGAGCTCTGGTAGCACAGTGGTTACGAATCGGGTTACTAACCTCAGGGGCAGCAGTTCAAAACTACCAGCTGTTGTGAGGGAAAAAAAGATAAGGCTTTCTGCTCCCATAAAGATTTACAGCCTCAGAAACCCGGGTTACTATGAGTCGGAACCGACTCCACAGTGCTTAACAACAAGAACCAGAGTGAAGCCAGGTGAGCAGAACATGTTCTAGATCTAAGGAAGGAAAATGCAGGCAGGAGGGTGAGAGCTCACAGGGTATACTCAACAGTGGTGCTTCCTGACCATTAAGGGGTGTAGCGCACACAAAGTAACAGACCACAGAATGACTGCAGGAGTTCCCCTATCCTGGCCCCTCCTTGTACTTTGTCAGGATTAAAGTCCATCTGCTGGCTGCAAACCACAGGAAGTGCCCAGGCACACACCTCCAGTAACCACAGGAGCACATAATACCCCCCATCTCTACCACCCCATTCACCTGGTGACCAGAATACAAGCTCCCTGTTTCCCTCTAACCCAGCCCCATCTGCCACCTCCCACACCCCGCACACCGTGAGTGTCAGTAAGTGCATTCCCGTGCCTACACTAACCCACCTCCCCCAGCCTACACAGAGATTGGCAAAGAGTTTATTACCACACACCCACTACCTCACTTCCCACCACCCCAAACTAGCAAGTGGCAGCAAACACACTTGTGAGTGCCCGTTCACCCACTAAACAACAAACACAACCAGAAATTGTACTTGTTAATGAAACAGTATTTCTTACAAACTGAGGAACTCTGGGTACCTATAGAAGTAGGGGGAAGTAAGCCTTCTCTCTTCCCAGGAAGGCAACGAAGCAGAGCTCACCTGGAAGTCGTTCTTCACTGCCTGGAGGTCATACAAGAAGAACTTCTGACAGTGTGGCAGGAGGAGGGCCAGGACAAGGGACAAGGCACTGGGCACCAGCAGAAGGCTCTTGGACAGAGGTGCCTTGTCTGGAGGGAAAAAGAAAACCACTTTCAGCATGACTGTCCCAAGGATTTAAAAAAAAAACACCATTCAAAGCAAGAGAACATACTTCTTTTGAGGAGATTGAAGACAAATCCGGAAACTTTTGAGATTTAAGTTCTTATTAACATAAGCTTTCTACCTGGAAAACCAATGGAATTCACTAGCGGGTGCTTCCTTGTCAGTTGGTTCTTAAGTGAGACCGAAGCAAGGAGACAGAATGCCTTCCAAAGAATGGTTGTTATTGTTGTTGTTGAGTCAGTTCCGACCCATAGCAACCCTGCACAGGGTTTCCGAGGCTGTAAATCTTTATGGGAGCAGCAAGCCTCCTCTTTCTCCCGCGGAGCCACTGATCGTTTCAAACTTAGCAGCCATATTCGTAACCACTATGCTACCAGAGCTCCTTTCAAAGAATGGTTGTTGTTGTTAAGTACCGTCAAGTCGGTTCCGACCCATAGCGACCCTGTATAGGGTTTCTGAGGAGCAGCTGGTGAGCTTGAACCGCCAACCTTGCAGTTCAAACGGCTTTGCAGTCTGGTGCATTAATCCACAGCGCCACACCAGGACTCCAAAGAATGGTGATGGTTGTTGTTATGTGCCGTGGAGTCGGTTCCGACTCATAGCGACCCTACACAGGGTTTCCGAGGCTGTAAATCTTTACGGGAGCAGACCGCCTTATCTTTCTCCAGCGGAGCGGCTGGTAGTTTTGAACTGCTGACCTTGAGGCTCGCATGGACATGATTCATATACACAAACACGGGTATTAAACAAGAACTAAAAATAGGTTAAAAGTGTGGACATCTCTAAAGGCAGTGTCCCCTCTACCCCCAAGTCTGTCTACTCACAATGTGCCTGGGCCCGAGTCTGTCACTTTTATGTCTGAGATCCTACGATGATTTCTGTGACTGGTATCAGAGCCAGCACACTCCTCTTGCTCCTTGACCTCATTATTTACAAGTAAGGATGGCCAGACATAGTCTCACATACTTTGGGCATGTTATCAAGAGGGACCAGGCCCTGGAGAAGGACATCATGCTTCGTGGAATAGAGGGTCAGAAAAAAAAAAGAAGACCCCCAAACGAGATAAGTGTCAGACACAGTGGCAGCAGCAATGGGCTCAAACATAAACCTTCTGAGGACGGTGCAGGACTGGGCACGCTCCATCTGTTGTGCGTAGTAGGGTTGCTATGAGTTAGAAACCAAGTTGATGGCCTCAAACAACAACAGTGTGATACAAACACACTATCTAGGATATTTGGGATCTTTTAGAAACTTTATAAAGTCCCGTTCTCTGATATGAGAGAAAGGAAGCAAATTAGGTTTTATTTAAGATCTTAACTTTTTTCCTAAGAGACAAAGCCTCCTAATACAATCATTTAATCCAAATGTACACTCTTAAGAAGCACGCAGGGAGCGCTGCTCTCCTCTCCCTCCTGGTCAGCCTTGGTGTTGCTAAGTGCCGTCACGTCAGTTCCAACTCATAGTGACCTAGTATAGGGTTTCCAAGGAGTGGCTGGAAGGTTTGAATAGCTGACCTTGTGGTTTAAACCAACCTTGCAGCCCAGTGCTTTATCCCACAGCTCCACACCAGGACTCCTATTCTTTCCTGGTGGTGGTGGCTAGGTGCTGTGGAGTCGGTTCCAACTCAAAGCAAGCCTGCATACGGTTTTCGAGGCTATAAACCTTTATGGGAGCAGAAAGCCTCATCTTTCTCCTGTGGAACAGTTGGTAGTTTCGAACTGCTGACCTTGACATTAGCAGTCTGATTTGTAACCACCATGCTACCTTAGTCCCCCATTTCCTATGAGCATGCTTTCCTTACTCAGGCATTGAAATTGAGCACCTGGAGCTACTCGCTGAGCTAATTCATGGGCGTCCAAAAGGTTCTGGACTTTGAGTCTGGAAGGCCTTGGTTTGAATCCTCACTTTGACACTTACTTGGCTTGTCCTTGGACGCATTTTCTGACCTGAGAATCACTCAATCCACCTCACCTCACCTGATAATAACTAATTCACCTGGGTCTTAAGAGAAGAAAATAACGTACGTAGAAGTGGTTAGCAACAGTGTCCAGTCCATGTTGTTGTTGTTAAGTGCCATTGAGTCAGTTCTGACCCAGAGCGACCCTGTACAGGGTTTCCAATGAGTGGCTGGTGAGCTTGAACTGCCGACCTTGCGGTTCAAACTGAGTTTGCAGTCCAGAGCATTAACCCACAGCGCCATACCAGGACTCCTAGGTGGTACCAACAGTTAACGTGCTTGGGTGCTAACCAGAGGCTGGAGGTTCTAGTTTACACAGAGGCACCTCACAAGAAAGGCCTTGTAATCTACTTCCAAAAAATCAGCCACTGAAAATCCTATGGCGCACATTCTACACCACACATGGGGGCATCGTAAGCTGGAGTTGACTCATCAGCAACTGGTTTGGTATGGGATACCCACAGTCTGAAAACTCAGTCATTAGAATCCAAGTGGTCCAAGAAGGTCTGCTTATAAAAGCACAGCTGAGATTTCTGGATCGGAACACTTCACCCCAATGTTAGCGCTAAAACACTGACTTCTTTGTCTTCTTTATACCATTGTTTTCTCCCAACTTTTAATTATGAAAATGTTTTCAACTTAGCAAAAAGTATGGTTTTAACTTTCGTCTACAATCCTTTCCTGAATCAATAATTACATACATTGTGGGTTGCAAATATGATTTAAAAAATTCTATCATTACTTAGCATGATTCATATAAAACAAGTCTTTTGTTGTTTCTCCTTTTATTAGGGTGTCACTGGGTTTATAGATTTTTACTGACTTTTTGGTGTAGCACTGTGGGTTAATGCACTGGACTGCAAGGTCAGTTTGAACTGCAAGATCAGCAGTTCAAAGTCACCAGCCACTCCTCGCAAATCCTATATAATGTTGCTATGAGTCGGGTCTGACTCGACAACACTTCACATAAATAATGAGTTACAATTAGTTTAATATATATATTAAATATGTATTCACACTCAAACTGTCCTACTAGCTTGGTTCTCGGCGCCTCTACATTCTGGGCCTACTTGCTTTTACATTCTCTAACCCTCAACTCCTGGTAGTGTAATGGTTACGAAACGGGCTGTGAACCTTAAGGTCAGCAGTTCGAAACTACCAGCTGCTCCGCGGGAGAAAGATGAGGCATTCTGCTCCCATAAAGATTTACAGCCTCGGAAACCCTGTACAGGGTCGCTATGGGTCGGAACCGACTCCATGGCACATAACAACAACAACAACAACCCTCAAATCCTTTGCTGCAAGCTGCTCATCATCTCATTACCTCCTGGATATGTCGTTTTGTTTTATTTTGTTTTTTTCCATTTCATGCTTTGGGAAAAACTTTCCTCAGGCTTAAAGTCCCCTAAACATCTTCAACTTCCCCCTAATACAGACACTCCCTGACTTACGCAGACTTCAAATTAAAGTTCAATTTCCACTTTCCTCCGTCAGTCTTAATGATTCATTTTAGCCTAAAAGACCTTCACTTCAATTCTGCACCCTTGTTTGAAAACACTACTTTGAATAGTCAAAGCTCTGTATAGGAATATTAAAGATTCAGAAGGTCTATGTTTTCACACTTATCTATGGTAGCGTAGTGGTTACGAATCAGGCTGTGAACCTTAAGGTCAGCAGTTTGAAACTACCAGCTGCTCCGCGGGAGAAAGATGAGGCTTTCTACTCCCGTAAAGATTTACACCCTCGGAAACCCTGTACAGGGTCGCTATGGGTCGGGCCTGACTCAACGGCACTTAACAACAACAACAACATATGTGCCCCAAACCTAGCACCTTTCATTAGGAAAAGTTCAGGTAACCAAGACAAGACCACAGTATCTATGAAGGCCACATTCTCAGACTGTACAAAGCACTCTTTAATCATATTTACAAGAAATCCCCTGGAGGTGAATTTATCAGATACAGTTGGTATTGTGGTTATTTTTCAAGCATATAAAAATAGGCAAGTTGTTTCCTTTCTGGTACAGTTTTGCAAACATCTAAATTAGAACCATGAGCAACATGACTGCATACTATCTTCATGGACAAGATACAAGCAAAGCAGCAGGAACGCTAAAAGCAAACTGCGTTCCCCATCTCCCACATAAGGAAACTTCCCATTGCTTAGGACCTGGAAAGAAGTATAAGATAGCACAACAGTTGTGAGCTTAATCCTCCTAAATGCTGTCGAGCTAGTTACGCCTCAGTGTGCCTCACTTGTAAAATGGGGGCAACAAAAGCGCCATCAAAGTGTGAGAAATACAGAATACATGTTGGGAAAACTGCTGCGATGTCCACCACCATCACAGCCCCCCAAGGAGGGTGTGTTCCTGCACTGAAGGCTCCTCTATTGTTCTGACAGGGCTGAAGATGGAGCAGCAAGTGAACCAAACTACTTTTTACATCAAAACTTATTGTCACTCCACGGGTGATCTAGGTTCACCTTGAAGGGACAGTCAGGAGAATACAAAGGGGCTTCAAAAAGTTCAGGGGGGACATTTCATTAACTTTTCATTCCATTTTCCATGACCTTTGTGAAGTCCCTTCGGAGTGCTTCTTTAGCAAGGATTTACACCTGTACTTGTGAAACGGATTCCCATTCTTCCTGCCGGCTGCTGAGCAGTTCGATGGTACTGAAGAAAATCACACAGCTGAGCTGCAAGATGTCATTACCTATTCATGGTCGCAAATCTCACATGGACAGCTAATGTTGGTGTTGTCGTGAAGTGCCATCAAGTCAATTCTGACTTATAGTGACCCTGTATAAGGTTTCCGAGGAGCAGCTGGTGAGTTTGAACTGCTAGCCCTGTGGTTCACACCTTGCAGTCCAGTGCTTATCCTACAGAAACACATCAGGACTCCTAGTGCCCAGCAACTGTACTTTTCTCTACTTAACACGTTTTCCAATCTCTGATTCGTATTCTCTCTTCTTCTCTCCTCAAACCTCCCTGCTTCACACTCCTAGCTTCATGCTCCCAAATGAATAAATTCATGACTTGCTTTAGTAGGTCCAATGATCCTACAAATATTAATAAATATCTACTATATACCACGGATTCCTGGTGTGGTGCTATAGGATTAGCAATGAACTACAAACCACAAGTTCAGCAGTTCAAATCCACCAGCTACTCTGTGGAAACCCTATACAGGGCTTCTGGGAGTTGAAACTGACTTGACAACATGATATACCATGGCAACACATTGGTTTTATAGGATAAGCATAGGACTGGTTTAAACCCACCAGCCGCTCCTCAAGAAAAAAATGTGGCTTTTTGCTCCCAGAATCATTTAAAAACCCTCAGAAACCCTATACCGGGTCACTATGAATCAGAACCAGCTGGATGGCATTTAACATCAGCAACATTATATACCATGTAAAGAGGCTTGGTGTGGCGCTTTGGGGACCGCAAGGCCCGTCTGAACTGAAAGGTCCATGGTTCAAACTCACCAGCTGCACATGGAAACCCTACACAAGGTCGCTATGAACCGGAATCGGCTTGACAACACGTAACAACACCAACAACAATGAGGAGCTTTGGTGGTGCCGTGGTGAAGCGGTTGGCTGCTAACTGAAAGTGGCAGTTTGAACTCACCAGCTACTCCATGGGGAAAAGTTGGCTTCAGTAAAGAGGGACAGCCTTGGAGCTGTCACTGTGAGTTAGAACTGACTCTGAGCCGCTGGGTTTTTATCTACCACGCAAGGAGTCTTGCTACCTAATCCAAAGGTTGGTGGTTTCAACGCACCAGCAGCTCGTAGGGAGAAAAGATCTGACCATGTGTTTCTGTAAAGACAAGAGCCCAGCAAACCCTATGAGATAGTTCGACTCTGTCCCATAGGTTCGCTGCGCGGAAACTGACCCTACAACATGAATTATTCTAGATCCTGAGGTACCTCAGTGAATGGAAGACAAACTGCCTACCCTGTTAGCGTTTGTACTCGATGGCACTTAACAACAGGCCTATGGTTACAATCTCCTTTGGAAATGGGTTGTCTTCGTTATGGAATAGCCCAAGAAGCCCAAGCAGAGGTACAAGAAAATAAGCATCAGCAAACCAGACTAGTTTATACCAGACCCTGCAGAAGGTGATGGACTAAGAAATGATGTACAAGATGAGGCATCCAATAGAGTGGCTGAGGAGTGGCAGAACTGGGACCAAACCCTGATGACACCAGCCAGCGTCAATGATACTGCTTCCTAAGCCACCCTGTCATACAGTTTCACAGTACAAAGGCATTTCACCCGCACGGTAGATTCCAAGTGAAAAGCATACAGAGTCACAAACATCAGTAACAGAACTCAAAGTGGTATTCAGTGCAACCGAAGAAAACGGCATTGTGAATGGAGATACAACACCAACAGTCTCGGGAGGGTACAAAACACCATGGTGGATACTTACTAAACGCTGAATGTATCAATCATTAAAAACAGCAGCCTTGGAAAGTCTATTGGGCAGTTCTACTCTGAGTCAGGACTCACTTGATAGCAATGACGGTAAATCAAAAAAGTAAAAGAGACATCAGAGAAACATTTACTAAACAAAAATATCACAGTGGGAAACTCTTTCTCCACCATCTCCTCCAGCTAGGTCTGCACACTTCTCAAGGTAGTGTTTCCATCTCTCTAACCCTCCCCTAAAGGAGCTCTGGTAGCGTAGTGGTTACGAATTGGGCTGCGAACCTCAAGGTCAACAGTTCGAAACTACCAGCTGTTCCGCGGGAGAAGGATGAGACTTTCTACTCCCGTAAAGATTTACAGCCTCGGAAACCCCATTCAGGGTCGCTATGGGTCGGAACCGACTTGACGGCACTTGACAACAACAACCCTCCCCCAAGGAATTCTGTGCTTTTCGATTTATACCATGGCATCATCAATGGGCTCAAATTCTGGGGTGTGTTTTTTCCAATGTTCTTTGAGTTTTAGGAAGAAAACCAGGGCTGTAAG